TTTGTTACAAGTAATTGAAATACTTGAAACATCTGGGAACTAATTATTCAATATTATTTATGGATCAATGAACAAAAAACTTTGACAATTTGCGTATGGAAATCTATTGAACTAAACTTGAGGATTACTAAATGCATGATGGGCAGCATGTTATATCACATTAATTGTATTTCTATCAAATGCGCCTACTGCTTAAAGGTTTTTGTTATATGATAAATAGCTACGTTATATAAAACAGGTGAAAAGGAAAAAAAAGAGAAAGAAAAAAAAACATGCATAGCGGGTTTCTATGTTAGGTTTTTTTTTGTGTCATTTCAGCTTTGAATGAAACATCAGAGCGTAAAAAAGATCCGATTTTCTTTCGATTATAGTAACAAAAAACAACTCGCCTGGCTTGATATATGCTCGTCTATAACGTTTGACAGTCGTAAAACCACACAAAGAAAAAATATATAAAAACAGTCCTATCATTTCAAATTTTCCCATTTTGTTCCAACACCACGCGTGTCACCTTGTCTTTGACATGCGCACTGACTATGCTGGCGCGTGCCAGAATAGAGGGGCAAGGTTAAAGTTGACGTGAGGACAAACACTCTGTCATGTGGACACGGATTTGCCGAACTGTTGCCAGGCGCGGGCTACAACGGTTAATCGTATGTACCGGATTTACCGGTAAACATTTACAGCGAGCTGAGGTGTCGACTAGGTGTGGGACAATCACACAAAGGGACCCGGCTCTCTTTCTAAATACAACTTTAATGATTGGGAATACAATCATTCAGCATGTATCAAATTAGATTATAAGTTTGAAATATACATAAAACTATTAAATGTTTATATCTATGTTTACATAAATTTATGATAAAAACTATATCATATCGACCGGTCGCTGTAATAGATAGGCGTTTACGAGCTGATAATTGAGTTTTTAATTCGGAGCTAAAATTGATAAATTAAGAATTCGAGACACTGGAGAGCATTTTGTCACTAACATATTAAGTTAATTTGTAAGAATCGATAAGGACGTTGATTATGGAGAATTTGAAACAGAAGCCTGATAACATTGGAACAAGTGTTGGGTTTAAAAATGTTAAACGGTATTCTAGTGCCGATAATTGATTGTTTTAATTGAAATCCTATACACGTAGGATAAGCATTTTAACAGATCCCATCCCGTCTTTGTGCTAGACCAGGAAGGATGGATGGGGTGAATTATGAATATTTCAGAAGGCTGATCATGTTGACACGTCTGGCCGCCAGTGTCCTCAGGCCAGCACCTGTCCGGGTATCTCACCGCTCGTGGCTGGCACGCGCCGATCAGTCCTATATTTAGATGTAATTAACCGGCCAAGTGTACACCGAGTGCACTTAATTACTCACGAGCAACTAGTTCCATAGTCACCATCTTGTCATTGCGAGATCAGTATGAATGTCTGAGTGCTCGAATCGAGACAGCTATTCCCTAAAATGACATTATATATCTTGATTGAAAAGATAAACCAATGAATTAATACAAATGTACAGAGAAAAACATGCTGATCTTTAATCATACACGTTAAAGAACAAAATGGTTGTTTCTGTGAGTATATGTTCAGTGTATAATTTACTTTATCATCAAGTCGGTGTATCGTTATAAGTCTTTATGTATTATCAGTAAACACATTGCTTTGACAAATCATCAGTTTTATACCAGTAATTATGATACACGTATGTGGTTCTCGTATGTTTTGTCTCTTGAAACATTTTTTCTTCAACACAAAACGTCATATTGTAAAATAATGTCGGGTAGTTCAAAAGTTATCTTAAAGTCCTTTCGACAATGTAGAAAGTCGACTCATTTCATAGGAAATGAATTAGTTCTGTTTTCAGTTCATTCAAGTTCATATAGTTCGCTTTCTTTAGTTATTCAATAGCGTTATATTTGCTTGTTTTCTTTATTGTTCTTGAAGGCAGATATTCAGCAGTGCCTTTTCCATAAAGCCACAGATATTCTGTTTGAGGAACCAGATGTCGTAGGGAACAGGTGACGGCAACACACGTGTGTAAGATAGGTAAGTCGCCCGCCCGTTATTGAATGTATTCATACCGTTACAAATCCGTTGCATGAAATACTTAATAATGGCAGACATCGGTGCGTATTGTTGATCACCGGGATAGGTGCGCTTAAAGACATCGCGCGACCACGGCCAATAAAACGCGCGCGCGACCGTTTGTGGACATCTGCTGTACTAACATGCGTGTAACGATAGAACTGTCCTGTAAAACAGATATAATCCTATCTAGTTAGTTCTTTATGCAATTACTGTACTTTTTACTTTATAATATACACACAAATGGTGAATTGTCATTCCCAAAAGCAGTGTGTGGTTACTCATCAAACAGAAACATTTAAGGAAACTTCTTTTTTTTTACTGTAATTTGAAGGTTAGCACGTCTGTTCTGTTTGTAGTATACATCAAATTTTACCCGTTATGCTCATTAATTTGGATTAAAATCAGAAATCTTAATCCAGGTCTGTGGTTTAAACTATTGGTTAGTGTAAAAAGATTAAAGTTCTTCATTTTGTGTCAAAAGACCAAATTTTTAGATTAAAATAATTTTTTATTGCCCGAATCCATTAACTGTTGGTATGAACAGTTTATTTTAACTCTTAACTAAGCAGAGTTGATATTGGTGTAAATATTGTATAAACACTGAATACGTTAATGCTAAAGTTATTAATGACCGGTGATGATATTGGTAGAATGGAGGACTACATAGTTTTAACAGGATTAAAATCAAACGCAATTACACCCACTCAACAATATCAGTAAGATGGAAAATTACGGCGATATTAAATAAAATAAATTTATCTCGATTTTGTTTGTTCTTTTTTACCTCTGATTACAGCTCTGTCTGCCGGTAACGGAATTTCAGTTACAATATAAATGATTCAAATAATTGTTATATCACTTATATTTATCATTTGCTCATTTTGATATGATTATTTTACAAAATGTAAATAATCTAACAGACATAATGTATGATAAACATTGCTTAGTAAGCTTTTTTTTTTAAAAAAAAAGAATATACTCGTGTGGCTAGATATGTGAAATGTTATCAGAAAGTATTTTGAAGGTGCATGAGTGTTTCCCAATATTCTTTTGTCATGCATCTATAAAACTTTTTCTTCGTCATCATATCATTGATTTTCATAATGGGTGTAATTACTTATCGTTGTCATTCAGATCAATATCGTCTCAATATTTCATCACAGTATAAACATGACAACAATAATTAAATGATTTAAACTATCGGCTGAAATGACCAAAAATTAATATGACATATTCGCTTTAACACGCATCAGTGACATCGACTGCTCAGTCATTAAAATGACAAAGGCGGTCGCGTGCATTCTGTCCCATTTGCACGATCACCTCGCAATTTTCAGCTGTATGCAAATTAGCACACGCGCACAAACGAACATCCAAACGCATATGAGATATATTGAGATACCAGCGGAAGCGAACATATTATCCATCAACAGTGACTCCACGTGTGATACATGACAACCCCTATATCATTGTTTTGGTAAACTGCTGTTCGTACCGCATGGACGATTTCTATGTTCAAATATCATCACAGCCTCAGCTGCTGTATCGTTATGTGCTGTCAGTGGAACTATTAGTACACTCATTTCCTCAAAGTCAGGATATAGTTTTTACAACCTGTTTCCTGCTAAAAAGTCGCTTCACAGCTGTTATCCGGAAGAAATAAAAAAAAATTATCGAGTATCAGACCTTTTTTCGATTTAAATAAGTGTCGGTATTTTTGTGTTAGGACAAACTATTAAATATTGAGAAAATAACACGGTTATAAATATGACATACATTTAAGGAAAATACAGATATCATTTTGAACTTGGAAGCAATAATTTAATTTAATATGTTATATCCTTCTAATAATTTTGACTTAATCCTTTATGTAGTTTGGAATTTGTTATATCCGTATTTCATATGGGTTATATCCGCTAAAACACACATTTTCTCGAGAATTACATGATTAACATGATAATTACTTAGTAACGACTGCGATTCAGATTCAATGTGTTTGAAATGTAGTATTTTTATCTGTTTGAGGAACATAGTTTATGTCAAATAAAAAAAAAAAAAACAAATTGAAATATTCCTATCTAAATGAAAACAATTGCCGTTACTTATAAGTATATATAAGATCACAACAGGCTTCAAATGTTTATCTATTTTTTTTATTTAGTCTGATTTCATTGTGGCAAAAATATAATAAATAACAGATACCGGGACAAAAGAATGTATGTGTATTAGCAAGACCATACAAGATTACATTCTATTGGTTTACAATAAAGAGTGATATATACAGTGTATGGATGTTTGTTTTATATAAAGCGTATTGAACGCTACCGACAAAGTCGAATGAGGAGAGGAAACCCATGGAAATACCGATGGCGATAATAACAGCCATATTCTGCGAGAAATTCAAATAGCAATACAAAATCGAATTATTAACGTCACTAAGGTAAGCGAAACAAAGAGACGACCAGTCAGCCTGCTGAAACTGATTGTGACACAGAGGGGGCGGAGTAACGGCGCGCGACACCCTTTGAATCCTTATGCATATTCATCAAATAAAAAATCCAACGGTCTTCACAGACGCGTGCCTATATAAGGATACGCATGGCGACATTTGGACGGATTTGGTCAATTCTCACACACCATGCTGCTGAAGACTTTAATACTAAGAAATGTCATATGTGGAAACAACGCGACCAATAGTTTGCTGTTACACGTGAAAGAAATCATAGCATCATCTAGACTCAATATTTAATGCTGTCACGAACCATTGGCCAAATCCCGACTTTCGGAACTTTTCGTTTTGAGTACGACTCTATGTTGACGTAAAGTGTAATTCCATGTAGATTGTGGATGTCCAGTCACCGTTAGTGCCTTATTTACTGTTAGGAGTCCTATACCACCGGTGTCACCATGCCTAGAGGATTCCTAGTCAAGAGAACAAAACATTCTAACGCTATATCATATAGACAGCGTCGAAACTCCGAAGAAGATGCTGAGCGTTATGAAAGTGGCTCAGATCACGAAGCTCCCGTAATTACTAAATTTGGATCTCCGGATTCGGGGTACTCCGTGAGTCCAGTAAACCTCATCATCCGGGAAAATCCGGATAACATCCAGGTTAATATCAAAGACGAGGAAAACAACAATAATATTAATAACAATAAGAAAAACGTCAACGAGAAGGATTTTGTGAGTTTCTCGCCAGCATCGTCACCACTGACTGTAAGTACCACCGCCTCATCTTACCCATCGCCATTTTATTATGCCACATTTGACAAGCTGAGTGTGTCAAACTTTTCGCCAAATAATCAAAACTGGAACTTGAATGTTAATCAGAGGGAATCGCAAGTGGCGTCTTCATCCCAACAAAATAGTCCAAACAAACGCAGAGGAAATAATGATAACGATGCTAAGGTGCCCAAGAAATCCAAAGCCATAAGGAAGATAAACTTTGACGAGGACAAGTCGTCGCCCGTCTCTGGTTGTATCATCAAGGACATTTCTGACGGAGAGGAGGAGGGAAAGGTTGTATACGGAGACATTGACAGCAGCTTCAACTATGTGGAGGCTACACCGGAGGCGCGTGCAGAATTGGACAAAATCGTTAACAAAATTGGTGACTATGTTTGTCAACTCTGTAAAGAATTTTACTCCGATGCCTTTAAGCTCGCACAACATAGATGTTCTCGTATCGTGCACGTGGAATACAGGTGCCCTGAATGTGACAAGGTATTTAGCTGCCCTGCCAATTTAGCGTCCCACCGCCGTTGGCACAAACCCAGGCCCGTCAACAACAACAAACCCAACTATCAGGCACCGATTCTCCCAGCGAAACCAGATTTGAGTAACGTGAACGACAACGCTGACATTAACAATTTGTCTGAAAGTGTTGAAAATGGTAACGTATTGTCAATGACAGTTGGTGACCTTCGCGCCTCGCCTTCTATTGACGGACAGTATGAGTGCGAAACGTGTGGGAAGAAGTTTCGTCGCCAGGCCTATCTTCGGAAGCACGTGCTCAACCACGCCAACGACCGACAAACAAACTGTAAGTTCTGCCAAAAATCATTTCCTAATGATGCGCTAAAAACCAAACATGAACTTTTACATTTGAATAACAATAACAACAAAGAACTGTGCTGCAATGTATGTAAGATGTTTTTTCCTAATAAGGTAATGCTAGAGAAACACGTACGCACGCACACGTGTGAAGTGTTTAACTGTAAATATTGTTCCAGCACTTTTTACAGTTCTCCAGGACTGACTCGTCACATTAACAAATGTCATCCCTCCGAGAACAGGCAAGTTATTCTACTTCAGTTTCCACCTTCAGTAAATCGTCCAAATTAATGTATCTCTGTAGGGGTGAGCCGCATCTAGTATGTGTGTATCCCCGGGCTCAACCCACGTGCCTTTGACCACTTTATGTTATACACTGTTGCCTTGGTATTAAGTATACGTGTGTAGATTTGGTGCCTTATGCTTCAAGATTTCACATTAGTTCCCATATGTATCATATTTATACTATACAGTTAAAAAACCTTCATTATTTCGCAATATTTTGAAAGACTTACCACCGATGACTGTAAACAATTGGATATTAATTAGTTCATGGTTAAAAGAAAATATTAAATCAAAAAGGGCTGAATATGACGTGTATGTATGACGTATTCAAATGGCAGGTTGCCAGGTGTTTGTAAATATTAATATATAATTTATGCTGTAGTTACATTTTGTTATTTTTTTGTTGAATCATAATTTTGATTTAATTTAAATTATTTATTTATATTTATGTGGTTATGTTTAGTTTTTACATTAATTATTCATAATATAACAGAGATGATAATATATTCCCTCAGATATAAGTTTTTTATTGATAGTAGATTGAAAGATAGTTTTACTTTACATAGTATATTTATACACATTTGAGTATATCACGATTATCTTGAAATCCAATTATCATATTTTATATACTTATATCGTTGATATTTGAATTTAAAAGTTTAATATATAGTGGGAATAAAGTTTCAGATTATTTAACAAAGCACTCAGTGCTGTAATTTTGTGCATATCCTTTGTGTGGCTCACTCCACACAAGCAGGCCGTTCGTTATTGCAATAATCGATATACGTAGTTAGATTACACATATTTGGTAATGAGGTACCTCAAAGGGATAACTAACTTTCCTTTACTCTTGTCTTCTGAGAATTTCTTTATTTTTTTTATTTTCCAATATATAAATTCTTTTAAATCGTCAAATGACACTCTTTGATCAAATGATATTTTCTTATTTGTAATACAGAACATCTTTTTTCCTAAATAGTGCTGTTTTATTTCGATATAACTTAAGAATTTTTCATTGAAAATGATGATCCGTTAAAATTCCCCCTTACGAGCCTTAATCAAGGTAATACCAGATGGTGACGACAATAGTGAGCCCGTTAGATGACAGTAGAAATAGCGGTAAGCCGAAAGGCAGATAATAAGGTAATAAGATTCGTTACCTGTTAAATGGCCTTTGTAAATCCAGGTAGATGGCCAGCTGATTAAACTTGGCGACAGTCGCGAGCCTGAAGTGTGTCATGCTCATAGAGCGTGGCCAGGTAGATAAAGGAACATCTATTTTCTGTCGTACCTGAATATTTTAACTGCAGATTGCTCATATCTAAATATTTGATAGCCGATAAAATCTGTAGAAAAAAGAAATTCAATGGCAGTTGTTTCACGGGCTTGTAACGTTAAAAGACATAGTCGAGTAGTTTTGTAATTGAAATCTATTGAGGTGCCTCCTTACACGGATAATCATTAACCATTAGAGTAGCGCTAGGGCTGGGGTGACAGTGAAGTGTATCATAGCTAGATAGATTTAGTTAGATCATTGTCAGCCTCACGACCTGCTTTTAAACATTAGGTAGTAGTAACATGATGACCATTGGTATGTCGTGTTGGTATTATCAACAACAACTATTGAAACAAACACGTGTGACTATGATTTGGTCTCGGTTTAACAACACGATGTACATGTATGAAATCTAATATATGCCAATGGTCAGCATGGACAAGTACATATATATCAATAGGTATGTGATATTTTATTTGAAAAGTCAGGACACATTATAGTCACGCACTTTTCAACAGAGAACGTAGTTTGTAGTAAGGGCTGCAATAATTCCCCGTGTCTAGTAATAATTAATTATTGATACAATGTCTTTCCTTACTCAAAACTACCTGAATAATCTACCAATTATAATCCCGTTCATGTCACAAACTAATCACCATGTGTTTGGCTAAATCAAGTGAACCTAGGATGTTTTAAGTGGTCCTGTTAGATTTGGCTGGTCGTAAACGTCTGCACATGTGCCTGACATCTCTGGTTTTTGTTTTATTTTCTAAGTTACAGGAACAATAGATTTTATTCGGTTTTCTTATGATTGTTGATTTCTTGCATGAGTTGAAAATATAATCAGTCGACTAATCATATTGTGTGTTGTTTGCATGATTCTACAAACTGTCAAATATTTGTGCCATTTTGATGCCTTATTGATTTTGTATGATAATATAATGTATCCCATTTGTAATGTTGATAACAACTTTTTAATGAAATTATGTTGTCCTATTCCAATTATGACAATGTATTGAGTGTTTATGACATTTTAAAACTCATTCCAGCTGTTTAGTATTTGCAAAATCATACTCACTGCAAACGATTTTTGTGAACAAAGGTATGATAATTTTCCCGGTGCCTAAACAACTTAATCAATACAAGAAAATAAACTGAAAATAAGTTTTTTAAAAACATATCAATACTGTAAGCAATTTCGAAATAATATCTTTTGTCATCAGTTAAATTTTGATTTATGTTTTAACAAATTTAGTGGTTTAACCGTTATCATTGTTAAACAGCTGGATTGCGTGAAATGAGTGTATACTGTTGATAACATGTGACAACAACCAGCAGAAGTCTGGGTAATGTTTCTGGTAAAATGCCAAATATATTTTTCCGATATTGTTACAATGATGCTATGTATGATTAGAAATGAATTAAAAATAAAGTCTTTGTTTTCAATTAAATACCACTGTGTTGTACATCTTTCTTGTTTATGTGAGTTTTCGCCACACTACAGGGAATCAAGAGGTGACTCCAGGTGAACAGAAAGGCTGTGAGGTGAAACGATGTACCGAATATCAACAATGGGGCTTCATAACACATGGCCCTTTCTATTGAAGTCAATATTTTAACAGTTTGTGTCTAGGGCTGACAGCGGGCACGTGCCAGTGTTCCATTGTTTACCTGTACACTTAACGGTAAGAGGACAGGAGAAACCGCTAGATATTATTATCCTTATCTATTTGCAAGCTGTGAAAACAACTCTGTCAATGGAACCCATAGAAACGAGATCTCTTCATTTAAAAGCGCCAAAATTTATGTCTTCTGTTATTTAACATTCATGTAAGATTGTAAAGAGTAAAGAGTCATTCCAAGTGACAGAATTGTTTTTACAGAAGAGCAGTGAAGCATGACGATCCCTCCCCTCTGTACTGCATTACAAAGACATGGGGAAGCAGGTGTGTTACCGTGACATGGTCCCGTTAGGCTGGTCTTTATGGGCACAGCGAGACGAGCGCCATAAAGGCCTAGTGATTTCAAAGCTGTGAGGGGTAACATGTTTAGATCGAATTTAAATACGGTGAGGACAAGATCTTTGTTCCCTCACATCTGTGCACCAGATCACTGCTAAGATGAAGTAAACAGCGGTGTAAGCTTTGCTTGCAGGCGTACCTAATCTCTTCTGGGTATAGAAGACACCTTGCATAACAGTGGGTGTAACAGTATCACAAAACATCAAACGAATAGCTCGGGATCGTTAGATTGGTTTTATACAGCAAGCCAGAAATGATAATGAATAAAAAGAAATCGAAATATCGAACTGGGTGAAAATAGAGATGAAAAATAAATACATAAAAATGACGAAACAGCTCATGAAGACATAATTTCCTTAATCTAGTAATACCGTAAACCCATTAATTATCTCGACACAGGAATACAAATTATCATAAATAGAGTTATTAGAATGCATTAATACTTCGTTCATTGAAAACAGTGATATTAAAATAATTATTCCGTGTCTCTTTAGTTGGTAGGACAGTAACTGAAACGTGTAAGCCAGTGACTTAAGGGACACAAACATGTAATATCGGAAACACAGATATGTAACTATTGAAACACTCACCTGTGACTAACCTGTGACTATTGAAACACTCATCTGTGACTAACCTGTGACTATTGAAACCCTCATCTGTGACTATTCAAACAATCACATGTGACTATTTAAACACTAACCTGCGACCATTTAAACACTTACCTGTGACTATTTAAACACTCATCTGTGACTATTGAAACACTAACCAGTGACTATTGAAACCCTCACCGGTGACTATTGAAACACTAACCCGTGACTATTGAAACACTAACCTGTGACTGTTGAAACACTAACCTGTGACTATTGAAACACTAACCAGTGACTATTGAAACCCTCACCTGTGACTATTTAAACACTAACCAGTGACTATTGAAACATTAATCTCTGACTATTGAAACACTAACCTGTGACTATTGAAACACTAACCTGTGACTATTGAAACACTAACCAGTGACTATTGAAACACTAACCTGTGACTATTGAAACACTAACCAGTGACTATTGAAACACTAACCTATGACTATTGAAACACTCATCTGTGACTATTGAAACACTAACCAGTGACTATTGAAACACTAACCTGTGACTATTAGAACCCTCACCTGTGACTATTGAAACACTCATCTGTGACTGTGACTATTGAAACACTAACCTATGTGACTATTGAAACACTAACCACTGTGACTATTGAAACACTAACCTATGACTGAAACACTCAAAACACTAACCAGTGACTATTGAAACACTCATCTGTGACTATTGAAACACTAACCCGTGACTATTAGAACACTAACCTGTGACTATTGAAACACTAACCAGTGACTATTGAAACACTAACCTGTGACTATTGAAACACTCATCTGTGACTATTGAAACACTAACCAGTGACTATTGAAACACTAACCAGTGACTATTGAAACACTAACCAGTGACTATTGAAACCCTCACCTGTGACTATTGAAACACTAACCCGTGACTATTGAAACACTAACCTGTGACTATTGAAACACTGACCTATGACTATTGAAACACTTACCTGTGACTATTGAAACACTCGTCTGTGACTATTGAAACACTAACCAGTGACTATTGAAACACTAACCAGTGACTATTGAAACCCTCACCTGTGACTATTTAAACACTAACCAGTGACTAT